GCCCGCCACTCCCAATGCGTCTCGGTGCGGAGCTCACCCTTCCGAACCTAGGGCCGTCCACCCGCTCTGTGCAAACGTAACACACGGACATGCCTCCGACCCAACGCTGCGGTACTCACCTCTCTGTCCAGCCCAGTTCCAAGCACACTGATGACGCCAGTCTCTGAGTTGATGGCGAACATCCCGCGGTGGGGTTGTTCAGGTATCTGCTGCAGGATGGAGTAAGTAATGACCCCATTGTAGGTGTTTACACTGTCGTCTGCATCTGTGGCTGTCACTTGCATCACAGAGGTACCTAGGCACGAGTTCAGAGTAACATTATTTTTCTAGTTCTAGGACAAAATGAGATTGGAGACGATTCTCCAGAACATACTGCCAGGAACAATCCCGCCCTGGCCCACCAAGGGGAATGGGGGAAGGTGACTAGATCAACCACCAGGCATTTCCCATCCCTAACGTCTGCCAATTCTTCTCTGCAGTCACCAAGGAAGGGGAATAAGATTGTAAGCGCCTTGGGGCAGCGCAGGCTGAGCCGTCGGCCCAGAGCCATCGATCTCACTGGGGCGATACAAAGACTAAAGCCCTACGAGCGTCTCACAGGTAAACGGACAGCACAATTTGGAGCCACATTTACTGTTACCAAATTAGCTCCTCTGTTCAATTCCAGTTTTCATACCGCCCCCATCAGCAGTATCTGCACCTGCTCCCTGCCAGCCCCAGAGCCTTCTGGGAAGGTAACTGGTCCCCTCCGCGGGTTCTGTAGCGAGGCGGGTGGTCAACCCCAGGGTGCCGACTCTCCTGCAGGATCGGGGGAAGGAACTGCTGGGTTGGAAGGGGAGGGAGAGCCTGCTCCAAGCCCTGCCATCCACACGAGCAGCACGCTCTGGACAAGGCGCGTTTGCTCAGTGGGCAGATTTTAGCCCCTTTGGGTTATTCTGGGATTTAAATTCTTCAAAGCAAAATTAACCCAACACTAAAACAGCCAAATCTCATGACCGGTGTGTCTCAGCCCCCACTAGGGGGCTCTGCTCACGTACCTGGCTTGGCTCCTTCTTCTATGGAGCCTGTGAAGACGCTCTGGGTGAACTGGGGTTTGTTGTCGTTCTGGTCGCTCACGGTGATGATGATCTCCATGGGGTCCTCCACGGGCTGCCCATTCGCAGACACAGCGTGGGAAAAGAGCTGCAAAGCCAGCACAGGGTGTAAGGCACCATCAAACCACCCTGCGAGTCCTGCAGCCGCCTGGCCACGAGCAGCCAGCAGCGCCCGCCAAAGCCAGCCCTGGCTCCGAAAGCAGCGGCCATGCTTGGCTTGTGCGCGGTGTTCCACAAGTCCCTGCACAACAGGAGCCCGAGCCTGGCTGGCTTAGCCAGAGGGGACTTGCCTTCGATTCCCCACCTCCAGCTGCTGGCTGACCATTCCCACTAGGGTCCTGAGTCCACACGGAACACACCCAGCCTGGGGGTCTGCCCAGCTCAGCCTGTGCCCAGGGTCCGGACAGCAGCCTTCAAAGGGCCCATCCAGCTCCCCTCCACACTCGGAGGATAATCACTGCCTGGCCCATGGACAGTGAGGTCCTGTTACCCAGGGAGGGGCCAGTCTGGGCTGTCCCAACCTGTGTGGATTTATGGTTTCTCCTCCCTGCTGGGTCAAACCCCAACATCAGTAATGGACACGGAGCCACCCGCTAGCCCTGCTCTGCCCAGCAGAGACCCACAGGCCCATGACGAGGCATCCAGCCAAGCTTTCGGAGACGGGAGGCGCACACTGAACGTGTCTCCAAGCAGCAGGGGCCCTGCTGAGGCAGCGAGCCGGTGGGGCCCCTCAGCTCCCGCTGCAGCTCTCAGCACCTCGGGGAAAGAACCGGGGCTCAGGGCCAAGTGCTGACGTGACCAAGTGACCAGGGCCGGGCACAGAGCAGGAGGCGGCGCCCAGCTGGGGTCAGCAACTCCTCTCTGGCTTTACTCTGCCAGGCCCCGGGGAAGAGACCGTGAGGGGGAGGTGAGGGAAGCTGCCCTCTGGACCGTGCAGTACAAGAAATGGAGTGAAACCCAGTTCACTGGCGCCTCTGGCCTCTTCCCAGCCACCTCCAAGCTCCAGAAGACATCAGCCCCCGAGAACATGCCCCTGCTCCATCCACGGCACCCAGGGACTCACCGTGTAGTGGCTGATGTCCTCCCTGTCCAGCGGCTTCGTCACCTGCAGCCACCCCGTCTCCCTTTCGATGATGAAGACGCCCACAGGGGGGGTGTCTGCGCCCTGCCCCGTGATGCTGTAGAAAACCTTGATCTCTTTGTCCCTGTTGGATTTGATCTGGTGCCGGAGAACGGGAGGGTCAGCCGGTGGATTCTGAGCACCGGGCCCGCCCCAGCCTGTGCTCCCCTCCCCGTCTGTCCAGAACCCCCCCAGTCCCTGAGAAGCTGTCCCTGACATTCAGGCTCCTACTCACACACACACACCCCACATTTGCCCCATGAGAGGATACGGCCGAGGAGGACAGGCCTGGAAGGAGGGTTTGATGCTACACAAGCCCAGTAGCAGACAAAGGGCTTGGGTGGGTTCTGTTTGTGAACGCTGACAGAGGAGCCGTCCGGGGCGGATGGAGCTTTCCCCACAGCGCCGCGCTGCATGGCCGCCCTGTGGCCGCAAGCTAGGGCACGAGACCCTGGCAATGAAACGGCTCCTCGGCCCGCTGGATGCGCTGGGTGGAACCAGGGTGTCCGATCCCAAGAGCTCTTCCAAACAAATGCCACCCACCCATCTCTCCACGCTCCCCCTCTGCCTTCCACCTACCCCCCGCTGCCGGCTCTCCAAAGAACCCCCCTCCTCACACCCCAACAGCGACACACCCACCACACCGCGCCTGGCTGGGACGCCGGGCCAAAGGCCTCCCCTACCTGAACCAGCGGCTTGGGGAAGGGCCCCCTCTCATTCTCAGGGCAGTTGATTGGAGGGATGACCCAGTCCCTCTTCTGCCTCTTCCGGCTGGGGCGGGACTCTGGGAAGATGAGTATGTCTGCCTGAGCATTGGCAGGGGAGTCCTGCAGGGAGAGACACACGGTTCACAGCGAGGTCCCTGCATTAGACACAAGGCGGCTGGAGGTTTTCACAAACCGTCCGAGATCCAGCTCCACCCGTTACACAGACAAATCCAGACTCTGGTTCCCCACCTTCTGCTAAGGGCTTGAGGAGCCATTGGCTGCGAGCTCTTGCTGGTTCACCGCTGGGCTGGGCTGGGCTGGAATCACACGGAACTTCGGCCGGTCCCTTCTATAGCTGGGCCTGGCGCTTTGTCACACGGGACCTAACAGGCCCCAGACCAGATTCAGAGCAGCAGCTGCCAGCTCTTTCGACTGCCGCTGCACATTGAGTGGATGTTTCCAGAGAACCATCCACAGCGACTCCAAGATCTCAGTCTTGAGTGGGAACAGCCAATGTAGACCCCATCGTTTGAGATGTGTAGTTGGGATTCTGTTTTCCAATGTGCATTTATCAACACTTTCCTATTCACTTTCTCCACCCCGGTCATGACTGTATAGACCTATGTCATATCCCCTTAGTCGTCTCTTTTCCAACCTGAATAGCCCCCGGCTTTTTAATCCCTCCTCATGCAGAAGTTGTCCCACACACCTAATCAGTTTTGCTGCCCTTTTCTGAACCTTTTCCAATTCCAACAGGCCTGTTCTGAGATGGGGCGCCCAGCACTGCACGCAGCATTCCAGGTGTGGGCGCACCAGGGATTTATGTAGTGGCATTAGGATGTTCTCTGGCTCATTATCTAGCCCTTTCCTAGTGGTTCCCACCACCCTGGTCGCTTGTTTGGCAGCCACCGCACACCGAGCAGAGGTGTTCGGACAACAGCCGCAGTGTCAATCTGAGAGCACAGGAGCCAGAACTGGAAGAGATCCAAGCTCCTAACTTAGCGCCAATCCTGCCAGGTGCTGAGTGTCCTTCGCTCCCGCTGACGTGCAGCACCAGGCGCTTGCAATTTACAGCCTCCCTTTCACCCCAACCCTCTGCCCTCTAGCGCAGCAGCTCCCTGGCAGGAGACTTGGCTTTGCTTTGGAGGACAGCATCCCTGCAGCACTGTGCTCACTCCTGCTCCTCCGCGGGACCAGAGCCTCCTTCTGCTTCCCCTTGGCCTTTCCTCTCACCGAGCTGTAGAGGCAGGGCACACGACCAACGGGAGCCCACATGGAGGAGGCAGCAGAATGGAGACACCCAGGCTCAGGGACGCCCCCTCCCTCGTGTTCAGGGAGGGAGGACAAGGCCTCTGGTTCCCAGCGGGTCGAAGCTGGCAAAGCCTCAGCAGGTGGTACCCAAGGATACGGAGTTTCCTTGCTCGTTTGTAGAGTAAGCCAGCCCCAGGAGAGAGCCGCGGGCTGAACGGCCGCCAGGAGCCTTATCCTGACAGCCTCCCCCCTGCCCCAGCGCAGCAGGCAGAGTGCCACCGGAGCCCCGGGGTCCCGCCCAGGCTCTGCCAGGCAGAGGCAGCACCGCACGCAGCGCAGGCAGCCAGGGGACGCGGCCGCTACACCTGCACAGAGGCCGTTCTGCTGGCAGAGGATGAGCCCAGACTGGCCCGGGGCCAGCGCTGAGGGACACAACGGCCCCCGACGGATACCGCGGCAGACGGGCAGAGCCGGGGCAGACGGGTCGCGTGAGCCAGCCCTGCTGGGCTTGTTGCCATACCGTGTGCCGGTGGTGGCGGTGCCCGTGCCCCTCTCTCTTCACGGTAACCTTGGCAGAGTGCTTCTTGCTGGCAGAGTCCCAGGCATGGATGAAAAAGCTCTTTTCGTGCCCGTGGAGCTGGAGGGGACGTTTGACTGAGACGATGCCGTCCGTGTGCACTTTGAAGCGCGTGTCATCCGACAGGTACGCCGTCCGCTTCCTTCCTGCGCAGCCCTCGAAGCTCACTGCAGAGAGGGAGACAGCAAAGCCCGGCAGGAGAAGGGGGTTAGAAACAGAGCCACCTGCCCACCTGCGTATTCCAGTCCCGCCCCGCCGGATACCAGGACAGCCAGCGGCTGGACGTTCCTCTCTCTGGACTAAGCCCCACCTGCGCTAACCCCGCCAGCCAGGGGCCCGTATCTCCCGCGCTGTGCCAGGCTCCGGGGTCCTCGCTCTAGCACTTAGCAGCCTGCTCCCCTGTTCTGGAGCTCAGAAAGCTGCTGCAGAGAATGTGAAAGGGGACGGACGGGGCGAACGAGGGGGGCTGGTGTTAAAGCCTGAGCTTTGCCAGTCTCTTCGCCCGTAGCAGTGGGCCGAGGGCAGGAGGTTTCACTGAGCTGCCACCCACCAAGCGCAGGAGAACCTGGCTCCTTCGCAGCACCGATCTGCGAGTCCGCGAGCAGCTCAGAGGCCAGGCCACAGCAGTGCAGAACATCTGGACTCAGGGACAAGGGCCATTACTAACCCATTAGCCACTACGTGGCTCCCCAGCCACAAAGCCTTAGCAACTCGGCCTCTTCCGAGGGCAGGGAGAGACCGCAGGGTTCAGTGCCCGCTAGCACCGGGCGGGGTCGTCAGAGAGGTTCTCAGACTGCAGGGATACGGTGATTGAGGAGCGAGGCTGGGCTATCACTCGAAATGGAGGTGACTGGGACGTGAACTCTACCCTGGAGTACTGGGGGCGGGGGGAGTGGTGACCTGCGTATTCGTACACACCAACGGCGAGCTGTACGGTCCATCACCCCCTGGGAAACCCAGCCAGGAAAGTGCTGCAGCCAGGCCTCAGAGGCTGCGACCCAGCCGCTTTGCACTCGAGTTAAAGCAGATGCTGCCCAAGGAAGGGCTGCTTTGGAGCAAGGTTGCCTGACCTGAGATCTCAGACATTACAGACGCCATTGGCAGCTTTCTCGAGAGAGACGCGTCCCCCTGTAGTCTTCAGGCGCCATAACATCCCACCCCATCCTAGCTGCTTCTAACCAAAGCTACAGACCCAGCTGCCAATAGCTAACCCCCCGCCCCCACCCCGGGATCCGGTACAGGCCCAGAACTGACGGTAACGGTCAGTGAGTCTCTCCGGCTCCAGCTGAGGTACCAGTCTCAGGCAGAGGGCGCCCGTGCTCCAGTTTCCTTGGCCCTGGGGACAGCGGCACCTTTGCCAAAGCAAACAAGCAAAGTTTTCCTGAAACAGCAACGCTGGGCTCTGGGAACTGCCCTGCTGGGCTCTGGGAACTGCCATGGTCTCCTCGGGGGCTGGTGTAAAATGGTTTCACTTGGGGTGAGAGATTTATGGTGGGTTTGGTGGGGCCCACACTGGGACTATCTGGTAACGAGCTCTGCAGGCCCAACCACCCAGCGCTGCGGGCCCAGGCTGGAAGGGGATTCCCGTAGCTCACAGCCCAGGAGCCGCTGGAGGGGTTTGCTGCACCCGCCCCTCGAAATCAGACCCTGACCGGGGCATCAGCAACATTTTTTACGCGGGTGGTGGTAGAGGGGGGGAGACAGGGGGGCAGCTTCTGTTCCAGACCCCACATATCCTGCATTTATTAATGCAAGTCCCAACTATGGGGGGGGATGGTAGCTTCCCCATGCCTGATCCATGCTGAATGCAGGCTTCCCTCCCCTCCCCTCTGCCCCCCGCACAGCAGGGAGTCCCAGGTGCCGTCTAAGCTCAGGGCTCATAGCAGCCCCACTGCTTTGTCATCACAGCTCCAAGCTAAGCAGGAAATGGCTGCGGGTCCCCACGCCCTCCCCTCCCCCAGGAAGCGGGGTGATTAACCTGGGAAGGGATGGGAAGGTCTGGAATGCGGATGCTCCCGCTCAGGCAACCATCCCAAGTGGTTACAACTAACGTAGGTGAGACCCACCTGCCCCTTCCCGGGGGCCAGCCCCCCAGAGCGCCGACCGGGCAAGGGGCTCCTCGCCCCAGCTCCCGGATCTCACCCCGAGGAAGTGAAGCGTTGCCTAATCAGTCTTCCGCCCCCCGCCCCCGGCAGAGCCCATCCCAGCTCGTGCACTAGGTTATTAATGCTCTGCACGGGGGGGGCGGGGGGGCCAGTCAAAGCTTTCACAGCACAGCCCTGCTTTAATGGCCTCTCTGGCTCTCCTTGCTAGGCCTGCCAGCTCCG